CCCTCACCGCCCGGGGTAGCCAGCAGTACCGGGCCCTCACGGTGCCCGAGCTCACCCAGCAGATGTTCGACGCCAAAAACATGATGGCCGCCTGCGACCCGCGCCACGGCCGCTACCTGACCGTGGCTGCCGTGTTCCGGGGCCGCATGTCCATGAAGGAGGTGGACGAGCAGATGCTTAACGTGCAGAACAAGAACAGCAGCTACTTCGTGGAGTGGATCCCCAACAACGTGAAGACGGCCGTGTGCGACATCCCGCCCCGGGGGCTGAAGATGTCAGCCACCTTCATCGGCAACAGCACAGCCATCCAGGAGCTGTTCAAGCGCATCTCCGAGCAGTTCACGGCCATGTTCCGGCGCAAGGCCTTCCTGCACTGGTACACGGGCGAGGGCATGGACGAGATGGAGTTCACCGAGGCCGAGAGCAACATGAACGACCTGGTGTCCGAGTACCAGCAGTACCAGGACGCCACGGCCGAGGAGGAGGGCGAGTTTGAAGAGGAGGCCGAGGAGGAGGTGGCCTAGAGCACCTGCTACCGGAAGCGTGAGAACTCTTTATTCACTCTCAGTCTGTCCTCATGATCCTGTCTCACTGTGTGCACTGCTCTTCCTGTCTTGACATCTGAGTTGTACAGACACCATTAAAGCATTTTCATAGTGCCTGGTGCTTCCTCTTGCATTCCTTCCGGTAGGCCTGGCGCGTGCTGTTGCCGAAGGTCATCCCGTAGTGGTCCTGCATGTCTGCGAGGGGAGCGCCCACTGAGCCACTCAACCGGGCCAGGGGCACTGGCTGAGGCACTGCGGCTGCCCTGGGCCCCGGGAACCTGGGGCAGGTGGTCTCTCTGTGACTGCACAAGAGGCCCTCGCTGGGGAAGGGGTGCTGGGCCGTCCCCCCTCAGGGACTCAGGGACACCCAGCTGGCCCTGTGCCTGTGGAGCAGCAGGAGGAAGGGGCCCTAACCACCTGCCCGCCCCAGTGGTCCCTGCACTCACATGGTATGAACCCCATGTAGAAGGGTATCAGGCCCTGGCTGTTGTAGATGGTGTTGCTGGGCCAATACGTTTGGGGCAGCCTCTTGCCCAGGGCACAGATGGGGTTTCTAGACATGAACTGGGGAAAGGGCAGGTGTGACCGGCGGGCTGCCCCCACCAGGTAGCCAGCTGCAAAGTGCCCAGTGGGCGGGGCTGACATTGTTTGAGTGGTTAATGCTTGGAGGTGTTATCCCCTCCTCACCACGTCTGGAGGCTGCCCTGACCCTGCTGGGGGTGGGGAGCCAGTCCTCCAGTCCCAGGGGGTGGGCCCAGGGCTGCTGTCCTCGTACCTGGCTTTTGTCAAACTCGTCCATGGCCTGTGTGACCCCGTTTTGGTAATTCATCCCCATCACCCAGGCATAGCGGGGGATGAAGCCGGCGTAGCCTGGGGAGGAAGAGGTCGAGTACCGCCTCAGGTCCCCTCCACCGCCCACTGCTCCTAGTGCCCGGGAAGTCCGTCCCATGGGCACCTCCATGTTGGGGCCAGATAGGCATGGGCTTCTGGGCGCTTCCAGCCTCGCGGAAACGTGGGCAGCCCTTGCTCTCACCCTCCTGCTGGGCCCCCGGGCCTTGGGTGTCCTCCCGCGCAGGCCCGGCACCCACCTGAGATGGCCTTGCGTTGAATCAGGTTGGGGTGGTCCAGCTGGGGCAGTCTTTGGAACCTGGCTACGTCGAGCGTCTCGACCTGTTGGTGGCCCGGGCTGGGGCACTCATCCCTCCTGCAGTGGTACAGCTGGGACAGGAGGGGGCGGGTCAGCACCCCCGGCCCCCACCCCCACTCCCACCCGAGTCTTGGGGTGAGGCTGGTCCCCGTGTCCGTTACCTGGTGCTGCCCAGGGGCCTCTCGGAGGGGGATGGTGGGCCTCCAGGCCTCCTCCCCATATGCCAGCCGCAAGCCCGGGTGCCCAAGGTCCCCAGAGTCCACCTTCCTGCCCGGGGGGCACGGGGGGTAGGGGGGGTAGGGCATGAAGCCCGGAGGCAGTGGGACCTGCCAGCAGGCGCTCTCCTCGCCCGGAAGTCCTTCGGCCTCCGCCAGCTGCGGGGAGAACTGGCCCAGGACCTCGAGGTTCTTGAGGGGCTTCAGACCTGTGTGGACAGGGCAGCGTGAGCAGCAGCGGGGCTGGAGTCGCCGAGGGTGGGCGGCGGGGCCCGGCTCACCCGTGTAGTGGGGGATGTAGGGCTCGGCCAGGTCCCGGCAGGGGATCGAGGGCGGCTGGGGCTTGCTGAAGTCCTCGACGAACTTGGGCTTGGAGATGGGGGACAGCACGGAGCACGGGCTCTTCTGCACGCTGGGGTCTGTAAGCAGCTGCGCCGTGGTCCGCCCGTAGGTGTTCCCCACCTGGTAGCGCAGCTGCGGGTAGAAGCCGGCATAGCTGGGGGTGGGGAGAGAAGGAAGGAGGAGGCAGGGCCCGTGGGCGAGGGCAGGAGCCAGCCTGCCAGTCCCCGGCCAGGTACCCGACCTGGACCTCAGGGTGGAGGGCACAGAGACGGGGGGGGGGGGCTCCGGGGCTGTCGAGGCTGAATGGGCAGCACATGCCAAGCACCAAACCTGCCGTGTCACCACCACCATCGGACAGCAGCAAGGGGCTGACAGATGGCAGAGGCAACGGAACGGAATGCCTGGACGCACGGACGGGGCTGGCGACAGGGTCCTGCCCAGGCACCGGGAGGCCTGCTGCACACAGCAAGGTGGCGCCACGGGAAGGCCTGGCAGGGAACTGCCTCAGAACTTTGCCACCCAGGAGGCCAAGAGTCCAGGAAAGGACCAGGATTTGGGAGGCAGGCAGGAGGGCTGCTGGTGGAAGTGAGGGCGGAGCTGAGTGACACTTAACCATGTGGGAGGTGCTGTGGGCATATCTCGGAGCGGGTTGGAGGGCTGCGGGGGGAGGGGGGTTCAGAGCCCTCCCTCCTCAGGCTCTCCTGCCCCACCTTGGCCCCCAGAACTACTGGGAAGGTAGGTCTGGTTCCTGGCCCCTTTTCCTTGGCTCACAGCACAGCGTGGTGTGTGGGTGAGCACACTCCGCGGAGGGCGTGGTCGGGGTTTACAGGGAGGCTGCCCCCTGAGGCAGCCTGGCGTGTGGGTGCTTATCTCGTCTTTAGAGTGTGGAGCACTATGGTGTGAGCGGCAGGCATTTTCCCGCCAGCCTCCGCCCCCTGCTGGCTGTCCCCAGCTTTCTGCTCGCGACATGCTGCTCACCCGCCATGGCACTCACACCGCCAGCAGGGAGGGGAGGCCTGGGCCCTGCCCGCTCCCTGAAGACCCACTCTGGGGTGCCCTCACCGCTGGCCTGAGCCGCTCCCCAGCCCCCTACAGGCGTCCAGTGCTTACCCTGGCACATAGTGAGGTTCCGGCGTGAAGAGGTAGTGTTTCCGAGTAGCTGTCATCTTGCCTCAACTCACCTTTGCTGTGTGGTCCCTCCTCTTGGCCAGCTGCTTCCCTGGGAGGAGTCTCTGTTGCTTGACAACCATTGTGAGGAAGCCCCATTGCTGGGCACGCCCTAGCCGGGCCCGTCCTCAGCCCGGGGCACCCCCTGGCCGGGCCCGTCCTCAGCCCTGGGCACCCCTGGCCAGGCCCGTCCTCAGCCCTGTGAGGGCCCGTCTTACAGGTGGAACACAGGCCCACAGCAGCAGCTGGGAGGTGTGATGCCGAGGACCTCAGGGTCCAGAGAACGGGGACTATCGCTGCAGCCAGGTTCCAAGTTGGCCCTGCCGGAGCCTGGGGCCAGGGTTCCCCTCAGGAGGCCAGGGTCCCCCAGAGTGAGGCTAAGACAGGGGTGGGCAAACTTTTTGACTCGAGGGCCACCATGGGTTCTTAAACTGGACCGGAGGGCCGGAACAAAAGCATGGATGGAGTGTTTGTGTGAACTAATACAAACTCAAAGTAAACATCATTACATAAAAGGGTACGGTCTTTTTTTTCAATAGTTTTATTCATTTCAAACGGGCCGGATCTGCCCGCGGGCCGTAGTTTGCCCACGGCTGGGCTAAGAGAACCCCGTGCACCCCAAGTCCCCTTCTCAGACCAGAGGCCCGGAAGCTCCAGGGGCACGGTGATAAGTCCCGCGGTGAGGGGGCGTCTTCCCTGGAGCTGGCACTGTTTTCCATTTTAAACAAATCCCGACTCTTTTTGTAAGGAAGGACTTTCTAATGATACAAAGACAATATAACAGAGAGATGAGCAGGTTCAAGTACATGTCAAAAACCGGCATAAGCAGTACTAAAAGGCAGACTAGAAACAGTGTGGGGGGGCGGGGAATTTATAACAAGTGTTACAAACAGATAGGATATCAGTATAGAAAGCCTTACATGACAGAACGATGGAAAAGTACCCTCCCAACAGAAAAATGCACACAGAATGTGAGGTCTTGGTGGGGGGTGGGGGGTCCATAAACGTATAGACGGGAGGTGGAACTGAATCAGATCAATGCTGACAACGGCTGTTTCTGGCACTCCTCGGGTGGGTGCCGTCCGGAAAGCAGTTTGGGAACACACCGGGGCCCCTTGCCTCCACTCGTAGGAACGTCTCCTAAGGAATGAGAGGCCTTTAGCCCAAGACGCGCGCGATGTCGCCCCCCACGGCAGTGTTTGCCAGAGAGAAACGGGAGCCCGCCCAGTGTCCACGCCAGGGCTCTGCTCACAAACACCCGTGGCCTCTGCCCTCAGGGAACTTTGTGCACCCGAAGGGCCCAGAGCCCCGGCTGAGCGCTCGCCGGATGAATCCCGTCTCCCCAGCGAGTCTCCATCCGGATGCCTCCCACGCCAGGCAGGGCCCGCTGGACAGGAGGAGTCTGGACAGGAGGACAGTCAGGCTGGGCAGGGCCCAGGGGAGGAGATGTGCTTGACCAGGTCCTGCCGGTGGGTGAGACCAAGGCGGCCAGGGCTGGGGCTGGCCAGCGGGTCAGCTTGCGAGGGCACTTGGAGGGCGTGGTGCCCAGATGGGTGCACACTCAGTCGGGGCCATTATTCGTTTGCACCTCGGCCTGGGCAGCCCCCCCATCTGTGCACTTTCTGGCTCCATGCCCCCAGGCAGATGCAGGCTTCCACACCTCAGCCCAGGCAACCAAGGCCAGACTGCCTCTGGGGTCAGCACAGGCCCCTCAGACCCAGGGGCCTTGCCTCGCCTTTCTGAGGCCTGGATCTCCAGGGGGGATCCTCCTCTCCAGGGAGCTCCCTGACCTCCCACGCCTCCCTGATGCTTCCTCCCAGCGGGCCCTGTGCAGCTGGGCATTGCATGGCACCCACGCCCTGTCCTCTCTACGGCCAGAGTCAGTCCACCCAGAACCCCTGCTAGAGTGGACCCCCAGAGTCCAGCAAAGAGAAGGGTTGGGACAAGGAAGGGGGGCGGAAGGAGGGGGAGGAGACTAAGCCAGGCAGGCCAGGGATCCTCCTTGCCAAGGTGCCCTAGGCTGACCCACCTGGCAGGTCAGTGGAGGGATCCTATGGCCACAGCCCCTCCAGGGATGGACCTGGAATTCCCGGCAACAGGGTG